TTTTTTTTTTTTTTTTTTTTGAATTATTCCACAATCTTCCTCTCGAATCTCTTCTCAAATTAAGCGTAATCGTAAACGAAAAATTCGAAAATTATTTCGAAATAGAAACTTTCCACCGTTGGAAAAAATATCTCGTTGAAATCTCGAGCACGACTTCGACTTGCAGTGAAATTAGACGGTCGAAACGAGGCACCACGATCGACCTGACAGCTAAAAAATTGACTCTGCGTCTAGCACGTGGAGGCGTCCACGTGTGCGCGAACAGCTGACATCCGGGGCCACGAAGACGCCACTATTCAACTCGTGAATTCTTAACGTCCCACGATCGACGACCCGCCACCGCACGCATTACGTGCACTTTCGATCGGTGTCTATTTATAAAGCAGACAATCGCTCCTTCCCTTTGATGTTCTTCTACCGATGGCCACGCGCTTCCGGCTATCTTTAGCCGCCACGAAGCCTCCCCAGAATCCTGAGCTTATTAGCCATCCTCCTCCGTTGTTTGTCGTTTACGCGACAAGATTTGAGAAATTAAATATTTTTTTTTTTTTTTTTAATGAAAACTGGCATAATTGGAAAACTTTAATTCCGAACTTTATCTTCTTTTCTGAAACAAGATGCATCGATGATTTGTCGTATCTTTTATGGAATGGTATTATAAAGACCGTGGATGGAATTCGAAGTTAAATCATCGTATGATTAAATGAAATGTGCCTTATCACAGTTTCTATTGTCATAAATTGGTCGAATCGATCGTTATAGTGGGAAATACGTTTCATTGTATGAACGAATATCGTTGAATCGATAGGGAAGATGATCTCGTTAGAGGAAGACAATCTCGTAATCTGCGTTAGAGCAGCAACCGCAACTCGTGGTTCCCACAGTTACATCCCTTAATCTTCTTATTCAGCGGATGTAACTATATGCCCCTCTGCGTTTCCATTCGTCGAATAGAAATGTTCCAGTGCTGATAACGTTAACGATATCGCGACAATACGTTTCGAAGATAAGAGAATTGATTAAAAATTATTAACCCTTCATCGAAAATAATCCGTACACACCGCTATTATTTCCCAAGGAATGGAAGTTCCTGGAAAGTGGAAAGGATATGGAAAGTGGAATCCGTGATGGTTAAGTTTTTCAATGAATACAAACGGCAAACAGTGCCATCGCGCTCGTTCAAGCGCGTTCACCCGGGTTGACACGTATGTTGATGACGTGAAAAACAAGGCATGTGCACGTCCCATCCTCTGCTCGGTTGATTCAGAGAGAGAGAGAGAGAGAAAGAGAGACGCGCCATCCAATATCAATCACACGTCCATCCGTTTGTCATCCTGGCACTTCGCCGCGATCATGACTGTGAACTGCGAAACTTCAGTCGGGAAAAAATATATTCGAGAGGATTTATCTTTGTTCGATCCGTTTCTTTTTTCTCAAATCTGGTTTAAAGTAAGATTGCAAAAGGATTCGCAAATTACGAGAGAAAAAATTCAAGACTTTTGTTCCTCTGTCGATCGATCGATTATACATGCGTTTGTAACATAATACTCGAGATTCGAGATCCACTCGAACTCGAATTTCACAGCCAAGGAACCATAACACTCGGACCAATTGTTAGCCTTAGTGCTCGAATCCTGCCGTTGAAACACTCGAAACTCGAATTCCTCTGCCCTTCCAAACTCTCGAGATCGAGCGGCAACAAATGGCAGCCTGAAACTTAGAAATCCCATAAACCAACCTTCAGTGTCCCTCCCCCTCGACGACCCCTCCTCTGATCTTTCCCCTCAAAATCTAACAGCAACCTTTTCCCAAAATCCTCTTCCCCCAACTCGTCTCGCAAATTCTCGTGCAACGTGTGCCACGAAATTCCCCGGAATAAATTGCACGGGGGACGAACACGCCCCTGGTATACCATCCCACGGCCCCATTTTCGTCAACGAACTCCTTTCCCTTCCCTGTAAGGAAACTCGTAACTCGTGCTCCTTACGTGCTCACCTCACTTTTATTCCCTTATCTCAGCAGTTCTCAACCGAAGACAGGGAAGGGAAGTCGGCGATACTCGTACGAAGCAATGGACAATCGAGGATTACACGCAGACTTTAAAGCGGTGTTTTATTTGTGAACGAAGTTACGAGACTAGTATGGGGATACGAGACACCGAGGCAAGTGATTTAACGAATCTACCAGGATCCAAAAAGTGCTTATCGTTTTACTCGTGAATTGTCGCTGGAAAAAAGAAAAAGAAAAACTGTGGACGAGGAAGCTTTCGAACTGTTCAGTTGGGACGAGGTTTATTGAATAAAACGATCGCTGCTCGCCAAACGTATGAACAGCGAAATTATAGCGAAGCGAGAGTTTGAAACTTTAGACCGACGTTGTTTTAAAGCGGCGATGAGCGATTTAGTAAGCCCACCGGGCCCGAAATAGTGCTACTTTCGCCCTTTCCTTTCGTCTAACCACCTGTTATTTGCGATTATTAATCGTCGCTTTGGATAAATTTTCAACGAGGATAAAATCTCAAAATCTCCTCCATATTTAACGTATGTTATAATACGATTGATTTTAATCTCTCGAAAGGTAAATAACGAAGGAATGATAAAAGATTGAGAACCGCTGGCCATGGAAACCGGTCGTGGAGGGGAGGGAAAATGTTGCTCGTTGCGCGGAATGCATCTCTTGGCCCGCATTATTACGTACGTATTCCGGGGAGAATAGAAACGCGAACGGTGCATTGCTCGGTTGTGTACGGGAGAGGGAGAGGTGCAGCGGCCCCGTTTAATCCGAAAAAGCAATCCGCGCTAGCTCGTCGGCTTTTATGGGCAATTTTAACGAGCATCATAAATCCGGATGATACGCTGTGTCGTTCGACCCGTGTCGTAAATTACCAGGAATATTTTCGTATCGTATTAACCGCCGAAGAATGTCCACGCGCGCATGCGCGTAGTACGCGTACCTAGAGACCGATCGAGACATTTTTTAACGTCGCGTTTGCTTGTTTGTTTGTTTGTTTGTTTCGAGTGAAAACAAGATTGCACGTGTTTTATACCGGTAATAATTAAGTTGGTTTGATTCCTCGAGTGATAATAAACGTGGAACGATACTTGGATTTTGATAATTTTTTGAATATACGAGGTAACGTTTGTTTGATAATTTTTGAGGTTAGGTGACTCGAAGCGAATTGAATTGAAATATTTCGTTATTATGTTTGAATTCTTTTTACGTGGAAGTCAGAATTGTCTTTGAATTGTGATTTTCAAGCTAGATTAAAAAGTTTGGAAGCTCGAATTTGATTTCTTTCGAATATATTGGAATTAGGTTAGAGTGCATACGAATCTTTCTAAATACTTTAGATACATTAAGATAGGCTTTCGACTCTTAGAAGTTGAATTTTATCGTTGGAATATTATCGTATTTCAAACATTTTGCGTTCGATACTTCCAAATACATTCGATTTAGAAATTTCGAAATGGAAATTTTATTTTCACACGAGCATCATTGTCTCCTACATATTCCACGCTCAAATTCCATACTTCAGAGAGCACGGTACAACTGTCGACACTCGAATTTCGTTATTCGAGTATTGTCCCGTTTCAGATACATCGCACTTTATCAGAGTATACTGAAATTTATTGAAATTTCAAGCATTTGAATGCTGTTATTTGAAGCAGGTCGCGTTCAAGATGCTTTCGAAGCTCGAGGTTGATGCAATGCGCGCGAAAAAAAGAAAAGTAGTTTATAACTTAAAACGCTTCGAAACTTCCTTCAATTTTCTTCAGAGAAAATATACTAAAGTTTCTTTCTGCATGATCGATCGGCGGAAATTTCTTCGGGGTCGCGTGCGTTTTATCAGGTTAAACACGCGTGTGCGCCCGTTTCTTTAAACTTTATCGCGGTTACCCTCGACACGCGACCCGCGTAAAATCTCAATTTCGTATCATGTAAGACGCAATTTTTATCGAACGTGCTTTTCCCTTTTTCCCAATATTAAGAAAAAGAATGGAATTCGTGCGAAAAGAATTCCCTTCAAAATTATTGTACAAATTTTACACTATCTATTCGAACCGATCCAACAATTTTCAATTCATTTTTCTTTTACTTTAACCTATTATAACGGTTGAAGCAAGAACATTCGTTATTAATACTGTTAACGAAAATTTAAATTAAAACTCGGACTTTAAAAAAATTCACGATATTCTCAAGTGCAGAAGGATCTTTCCAGAACTTTTCAGAATCCCCCATACCTTTTCAGGAACAGTCGCAGAATCCCGATATCACGATAACGGTTATCGGTGTCCAACGCGGAAGAGATGGTCGATAAAACGAGTCGGCTGCGAGTAAGCGTAGCGACGTCTCGTGTCGACACGGGTCGCAGGCGGAAGTCGTGAAAAGTCGACTTCCCCGGCGGTGCAACCCATTGCCGGACGAAAGGGTCAACGGCGAGGTTCAGTGGCGATAGCCGGAAACCGGGCTGCCGGAAGCGCGGAGGAAATTAAAGTATGGGGGCTGAACGGACTGGGAGAAGAGTGGTTAAATTGTGAAAAGATATCCCCCTGGTGAATACCCTCGATTTGCCTCGTCGTGTCGGTGTCGTATCGAAATTTTTACAGCGGAGAGAAAAAAAGGATTGGGGATAGATTCAGTTTTGTAACTGTGGTGGTGGGAGCGCGTAGGTATTTTATTTTGGAAAATTGAATGCGGAGGAAGTGAAAAGGAAATCTAGGAAAATTGAATTGTAGTTTTTAGAAATTTTTATCGATATTGATTGATTCGTTGTGACGGATTTATTTTATTAATGGATGTTTGTCGGACACGGTGATGTTTCATAGATACATGTGAAAATTAAATTGTGATTTAGAAATTTCCTTTTCAGATTCTTTTTTCTTTATCCTCTTTATTGAACACACAAGGGAAGTAGAAAGAAATCCGGATATGTCAATTATGAAAATTGAATTTTAATTTAGAAATTTAGTAGTTGGCTCGTTTTTTTTTTTTAGATTTAATTTGGTAGAAAAAAATGCGTATATCAGATACATGTTTACAAGAGAGCATATTTGTGCTTTGCATGTTTACGTCGAATATTGCTGGAGATTCAAATATAGTTTAATATACATACGAAATAAATATCCGCCTCCTACTGGGGGACATTATCATATAAATCTTGTTTTCGAGTAAAAGAACGTCGATTTTGCATTTCTCTGATAAAATCGATCGTGCGGAGAGAGTTTAGAAGTTAATCGATTAAATTGGAATTATTTAGTTAGTGAGGATATTTGTCTGTTTCTCGTGTCTAGTTATAACATATGATAGTTTGTTTGAGATTAAATCGACTATGTCGAGTTAAGAGATTGAAGAAAAGTTTCGAATTTAATTTCGGCAATCTATAGAGGAGATTAAAAGTTACAACATGATTGCTCGACGAATTAATCAATAAATATGCGAGTTAATAATTTTATTAAAAAAGAAAAAACTTATTTACAATTTATAACATTACGATAACGAAATTAAGATCAAAGGAGAGTCGCAATTACGCATCTATTCAATTTTTCCAAACCTTATTTCATTCATAATTGATCAATTATTTCGACTCGAAGAATTGTTTCACGCATAAATGATTAATTCGTCGAAAGCCATTATACCTCTGAAGCATCTCTTCTCGAAGGAGGAAGTTAATCTCCAGTTAACTCGATAACGGGACAAAATCGGGAGGATTCAAAGATCTTCCATCTCCAAGATCATCGAACGCAACCTCGGATTCGATAGTTAATTCAGGGAAACTTGGTGGAGGTTTTTGAAAGTCGGCCATAATTAGGCCATCGATCCATCGAAAACGAGATTACAATCCGACTAATTGCAAGAAGGGTTCGAGGATCGCAATGGCCATTGCGTGAATATTTCATTGGGATCTACCGAAAGCTCAGTTGGTTCTTGTTAATTATGCGTGAGGCCAAATAGCCAAACCGGGTTTGCGGGGTGGCAAGAAATTGTTAATTACGCCCACCTCTTTGTTCCTTTCCGCAAGTTTTTTTCCCCTCCATCCCCGTGGAAGCCCCGTTTATGCGCGGCCCCCTCCCTTTTGTTGGACAAATCTCTTTTGTTCGACGTTGGAGGTTGGATTCACAGCGTTAGAATCGCTGTGTGTGAATTTGTTATTACCCGGCCTGAGTGTTCCGGTTTCTCAGTGTTAATAATACAGCCAGAGAACGTTGCTCTGGAAACCGAGGTTGAGTTTTAACATTTTGGACGATTTTTTTTCATTCGAAATGAGAAATAATTGAATAAAGCGAAGAAGAAAAAGATTTAAAAGTCTCTCGAGTGATTTGTTCATCGAGGTAATAAAAGAAAGCGGAAGGAATAGAAATTTTGTATCTATTGAAATCTCCTCGGTTTGCGAGCGTAGAAGAATTGAAATCGACAGATATCACGTGTTAAGTAATCTTGGAAGGAATACTACTGAAATTTGATAACGATAATAAAGTAGAGAAAAGGTAACGTGTACACACTTTGATAAAATTCAAACAGACGCCACGGCGAATTATAATAGCGTGTTCCGGGAGCAAGTTCAAGCTCGAGGCAAGGGGGGGAACCGATTTGCGGCCGACAAAGCCGGTTAAACGGAAGTGGCATTCGGTCGAGGATACCGCCACTAAGTGCGAATTAACGTGTGCAAGGGATCGACGTGATGGGCTTCGATGATGGTAAGGGTCGAATCGAGAAACCTAAACCTCTAATCTCTACACGCACAATCGTTATTAATCGTGCCAAAATGATTAGATTATCGTTCATCTTCGATCATTGAATGCGAGAAAGAATGTTATTAGATATTGTGGTGTTTCGTCGTGGTGATTGTAATGAAGCGTAATCAAAATTAAGAATATATCAATATTTGCACTTTTATGAATCGTTTGCGGATATAATCCGTTTTTATTGATCGAGACACGAGCAAGGCCAGCTGTTTACACAATGACGAATTTCATTTTATTACGAAATACCGTATCGCGATATTATTGCAGATATATATATATATATATATATATATATATATATATGCAATAATATCGCGATACGGTATTTCGTAATAAAATGAAATTCGTCATTGTGTAAACCGCCGCCCTCCCTCCCCTCTCCCCCCCCCCCCCCCCCCCCCCCCCCCAGATATATATATATATATATATATATATATCTGCAATAATATCGCGATACGGTATTTCGTAATAAAATGAAATTCGTCATTGTGTAAACCGCCGCCCTCCCTCCCCTCTCCCCCCCCCCCCCCCCCCCCCCCCCCCAGATATATATATATATATATATATATATATCTGCAATAATATCGCGATACGGTATTTCGTAATAAAATGAAATTCGTCATTGTGTAAACCGCCGCCCTCCCTCCCCTCTCCCCCCCCCCCCCCCCCCCCCCCCCCCAGATATATATATATATATATATATATATATATATATGCCGTCGAGTGGGCAATAATCTTAAGTCAACACGCGCGTGCAAATTCTTATTGAACGATCGTACAAAAATTGTACGCACGAAATTTTAATCGGCTCGAGTTTGAAGAGAATACGCTATGTATATATGTATTATATATTCAATAAGAATTAAAAAAAAAAAAAATTACTACGTTTTCTCTCTCGAGTCTTGAAGTAATTACCTCTAATAATCGTAAAAAAGAAAAAAATTGTCAGAGCAGTCTCGTATAAAAGATCTCTGTGGATATTTTCCCTAAAATAAACCATTGGTTTTACGAAGCTCGTTACCTGGAAATGAAACGCCTCAAAGCTAGGAGGACGGAACTCGAAGATAAGAAGATAACAAGTTGGCTAGCTGGAACGAGAAGATGAAGCTAAGAAATGAAAATTCAAATTTTAGAACGGAAGAATTTTAGATCGATGATCTCTCTCGAACGGAGAGAGAGAGGGGGGGGGGGAATTTAATTTTTCCAAATTTGACGATCCTCGGCGTGTATTTTCGCGAATTTGTCGAATCGAAATCCCCCCTCCTACTGGAAATTCCCCTCTGTTTATTACACTTACGATTAATTTGCCGGCTATCTAAACAACAGATTTCCGGCCAGATGGGATCGGGAACGCATCAGAGAAATTTTTATAAGCCGATTGGACGATGA